CATTACTATTTCACTCTAATAAAGAAAACCTGCTTTATTTTGACAAGACATCTACTTATCTAGTGTTTCTACTGAATAATAAATCTATTTTCTTTGAAAAATAACAGAGAGGTTGGGAATTGGCAGAAACCTACCTGGATGATTTGTCAATTAAATATTTTTTAAAATATCTTAGTTTCTGCTAATGAGAAGCTGGAATTCAAGAGATTTTGAAAATGTCACTAATTTTTGAAATAGAAAATTTTGAAATGTTTACTTTGTGGTTGTCTTAAATTTTTACATTGCTCAACAAAGCAAGCAGAAAAGTGAAAACATCTGAAAAGGCTTTTGAAAAGAAGAGAGTCAGCACAAGCTGGAGAGAGCTGTGGGCTCCTTTATCTTGGAGAAATCTGCACACATGGAGCAGAGTTTAGGGGCTTTTTCGGTCTTTTTTTTCCCTGTGCATTCAAACACTTCCCAGTTCAGACCCCAGCGCCGCGGAGCTTGCCAGACCTTCAAAGTCCTGCTGGCAGCCTCGCCTGCAGTGGAATAAAACATCCGACCCCGGGGAGGCAAAAGCTGAGTCATTTTAACCCCAAACAATGCGCACTGATGTGGTCATCTTGTTAGTCATGGAAATCCTGTGTTATTTCTATTTATGTTTCTTTCAACACTTATTAACTAAGAAGTGAGAGGGTTTTATATTAAACTGCAGAAGATGTTTATCCTCTCCAGGGCCAGGACAATCAGCTACGTGGCTTATCAATCATTCCAGAGATCCATGCGAGAAAGGAAAAGATTTTGAAAAATTCCCAGCGCAAGTTCATTTCTAATGCTGCAGGAGGGGGGGAAAGCAAAAACCAAAAAAAACCCAAACCAAACAAACAGCAAACCAAAACAGGCAAAAACCAAAAGCATGTGTCCAATGCTCTGTGGGCTTTGGGCTGGCTTTCCTTCTGACGCGCATGCATGGGTTTCCTTGTTTCGACAAAACGAGGACTCTCTTGGGGTTCACATTTGGGAGGCAGTCATGTTTTTTAAAGACAAACTGCAGCTCTCAGTGGTCTGAGTATTAAACAGAGCAGAAGCCGGCCTTCCGAGTTCAAATGCATTTATTACATGTGGTTAGAAAACAACAAACCCCTGAAGGACGGGCGAACTCAGCCGGCTGGGGCTCACCTCGTAGCACCTGCTCCAGGTAGGGTCTCTGCACGTGGGCTGTGAAGGAGCACGTCAGCAAGCTGGTGACAACGTGGAAGGTGACTAACCTGAGTGCGTGCAGCGCTTGGTTCGTACGTACCGATCGGGTTTGTGGCACGTTTGTGCCGTTCACAGCAGAGCAAGTTGTGCAGTTGCGTGTGTGCACGCGTGTGTCTGGGACTGCCAAGACTCAGATCCCCGCGGCGCAATGCGCATGGAGGAGAGCCAGCTACTTCCCTCCAGCCTGAGCCCCTTAAACAAGAACAGACCAAAACCTTCCCCGACGGCTCGGGGGAAGTCACGTCTCTGACCCACGCGCCGGAGCCCACGCTCTGCTCCGATCACCCCTCGTGGCAGAGCTGGTTGTTTGTTTCAATGACTCCTGCCCCGGTCCCGCCGCACTGGACAAGCAGAGACGGTCACCCCCGCACGGGGAGGGGACAGGGTTCAGTGAGCAGAGATTTATGCGGCAAAATGGCTCATGGGCTGGTAACAAAAAATTGCCCGGGGCTCCTGCTAGCAAGTAGCAGGGTGAAGCCAGGCACCACGCTCCCGCCTGTGGCTTCCTCCTCCGTGGAGGTCTGGTTTCTTAACGAAACGACCTGTGGTATTGGCTATGTGGACAGCGCGGGCCAGTCACAGCCGGCCCATGATCGCCCCGTCCTGCGTCAGGCACGGCGCAGAGGTGGCCTGTCCTTCTGAGCTGGTCCGTAGGGGCAGGTGGAGGCCCAGGAGGCTTCGCTGTGCTCTGCAAAGCGCGCGAGTGTCCAGGGGCGAGGGTCTGTCCCCAGGACGGCAGGAGACGCAGGACAGCCCCGGGCACCGCTGAGCTCTCCACGGGACGTGCTGGGACTCAAAGCTGTCTGGCCATGAAAACACCTCCCGGGATTTTGGCACACTAGAAAACACGCCAACATCCTGGGCAGAGCGTGGACGTGGATCACACACAGCGTGTCCCGCCGGCCTGCGATGGAGACGGGTGCCGGGGGCAGACGAACGCCAGCAAAGGGCCCAACACCCCGGCTTTCATGCTGCCTCTCTCAGAGAGTGTTGCACACCTGGGTCAGGCCTGCAAGGCTCTCGGCAAATTGCTGCCACCTCGGTGCAGGCCAAGGAGCCCGGTGGGTGCCGAGGGCCACTGGGCACTGGCCGGATCCTGCACTGAAGGGACTATTTGATGTCCTGCAGTTACGCAGCAAAGCTGCTGGTATCTGGGGGCCGCTGTCAGTCAGCGGCCGCGGTAACACAGTCCTCTGGGTCCGATGTGGGGGCCTGGAGACGGCCCAATGTTGCGCCCCAACTGGGCAGGTCCCGGCTGCATGCTGGCCTTGTCAGCCTACGGCGTCCGGTGTCGGCACCCAGCACTTCGGTGACATCAAGAGAAACTGTCTGGAGAGGGGTTCTCGATGGCGTCTGGCGCTCGATGTTGCGGCAGTTCACAAAAAGGCTAAAAGCTTAAAAGCATAAAAGCAGTAAAACAAGCTAAAAGCCTAAAACCGCCATGGGGCCGCCACTGGGTAGGGCGACCAGCGCCTTAAAAATGCCAATAAATTACGGGGGACAACAAAAGAGAAAACAGGGTGTGTGCTCGTGCGGGTCACAGGTTCAGAACGAGTGCTCCCCCAGGGGACACCAAGCAGAGCACCCGGACAGCGCCCACCGGCTCGCGAACGGAGGGAGCTCGCCGGCGGCTACTGCCCAGTGGTACTCTGCCCGGAGATGTGCGCGAAGGACACCGAGGAAAAAAAAAAAGGGCCACTGAAGGGCCCAACCCACCGACAGCTAAACACGGCCCGCGACAGCCCCAGGGCCAGGCCATCGCAGCCCCGGGTGTCTCAGCTGCTCCTCGCCGAGGCACGGACTGGGCAAAGCGCAGCCGTGGGGACACGGGGCTTCCCCAGGAGCCACAGGACCCCAGACCAGGCTGGCCGGCCTTGCTGCCCTTGGCCAGGGAGGGGGACACAGAGCACCAGGGCTTTTCCCTTGGATGTCCGAGGAGCCGGCTCACACCAGCCCACCAGCCTGTGCCCGTGCCCACAGGGATGCCACAGCCCGGGCATGCTCCCCGCCGAGCCCCCGCTGCTGCGGCCCAGGGTCTGGGCGCCAGCACTCACCCGCTGCCCAGCTTCACCTGCTTGGGCCTCCTCCGCGGGTGGCGCTGGGACCCCCGGCTGACGGGCCCAGGCCCGTGCCGTCCGGTGCCTCTGGCCCCAGGGCTGCCCCTCCAGCCACCGCCAGCCCACGCTGCTTCTCCTCCCCGCAGCAGGAGCTCCTGCTACCCAGCTCGCCAGCCCCGGCGGGCCCATGGCCTGGCACGAGGCAGCTTGCCCTTGTGACGTTTCCAGCAGAGGAAAACTGCGTGAGCTCTGGTCACGGCTAAGGACGAGCTCGAGACGGGACCAGGGCGCTGGCTTGTGCCATGCGCGTTTCTCCAGCCGTGGCCCAGCAGGGCTCTGCGATGGGGCTTCCCCGGCCCCCACAGCCGGCAACCGTCCGCGGGCTCCCACCGGCGTTGCCGATCGCCAGGCACCAGCACCTCCCGCTTCGGCACAGGCCCACGCCAGCCACGTCTCTCTGGTGCCATTAAAACGTTTTTCACCAGCGGTCGCCAAGTCAGAGCAGGGCAGCTCCGCTCAGAGGCGGCGGCTCTGGACCATAAAACAGAGCACCTTCCCTGTAACTCACACCTCCCTCTTTAACAGCCTCTCTTAAAAGGGGGCTGTAGTTCAGAGTTAATTATAAAGCCCTGTTTATTTCTGCAGAATCCCGGTTTATAATATTGGTACAAGAGCAGTTTTAGAGCCCCGAGTTGATTCGGGCGGCTCTTGGCCTGCAGAGAGCTCTCGAGTTCTGGCAGGGACCCACCTGGACCTGCTGCATCCATCCCGTTTCCAACAGGAAATACTGGAAGGGAGAGAAGCTCCATGGGTGGCCGTGGGGTGATGAAAGCCCCGCATGCTGCCAAGTCACTCGATGCGGGGAGGAAACAGTGACCAGGGAGGCTGAAAGTTTGGCCTTCGGCGATTCTTGTTGACTGAACGTTTTGGAACGGTGACAGGAGTCTGCTCCCAGCCGTGCGGAGCACTTGTGAGCGCCGCAGCTCTCGCTCCTGCGGACCTTGCGCCCGTACGGGAGGGCGCACCGTGCCCACGAGCTGACAGATGGACGGACTTGTAACGCGTGTGCGCACACATACCCCTGGACTCCAGCACCGAGGCAAACATTTAGGTTGCAGAGTCAGGCCCCGCAATCCGCTCTTTCCGAACGGTGGCAGCTGTCTGCGCAACCTGAACTCGGCTCCCGCGTGCCTAAGGACACTGCAGGATCCCAAGTGCATCGCTGCATTTGCCAATCTGCTATTAACAAACAGCCACGGGACTCCCAACACGTACGGCTGGGACGTGGCCACTGACAGGGGCATGTAGATGCCATGTATGACTCACTTTTCTCCCCCTGCAGAAAACCGAATTTTGGGAGAGTTTTTTCCAGCTGCGGAATGGACTTTTTGACCATCCCTTCACCCTGGACCCTTTTAACATAAATTTCCAAGGTTGAGAATAGCTACGAGGGCTCAGCTCAGTCCATATCACATCACAGGACTCGATGCCCTGGCCCGCACCACCATCTGGCAGCCAGGCCCAAGGGACGGTCATGGTTCCCAACGACCGCTCTTGCTCCGAGTCCTGCCTTTGGGGCAGAGCTGTGGCGCGCGCACCTCTATTTCCCAGGGAGACTGTTGAACTCTTAGCTTCAAATGAAACTACAAAAAAGCCCCTTCCACCAACCAACCAAACCCCGAACAAATATCAGGGAGAGAAAACTGGTTAAAACAAACTTTTATTTAACAAATTATATTAAGAATACAGACTAAGTTATCACAACGAAACTTCCCTTTGTAAAATACAGGAGGGCCATCTAAAATAAATATAAAAGGTAATAACATTCATAAGATTAATGCACAGTAAATTCACTTTCAATAGCCCAACAAAAATGCATAGCATCTTAAAAAACATTTTGCAACTGCATAAAAGGTTTCTCTTTTCCATTTTCATGATACGACAGTTAAACCACTGCTGTCAGGAATTCATTTCACAATGAACAACCCAGAAATATTCAAGCAGTTTGGTTTCCCTGCATCCAATGAACAGAAGGAACTGAGCAGCACCGCACTGAGTTTTTAATTAGCAGAGGGTCGAGTTTCCCTAGCCGCAATCTTTTCCTAATTTTATGGCTCAGAACAACTAATATCGACATTTGTTCTCTTTCCGGCTCTCTCCGCTGCTGCTCGGAGGAGAACTCTGCTCTACGTTAGTTCTTCAAGGCTCGAAGGCTGAGGTAATATTGAAACGCAGCGATACACGATACCCTTCGCTACGAGAGAAACGCGCCCGTGCTGGGGCCGACACAAGGCTCAGGCACTGCGTCAGTCCCGCTTGCGCCCTGTTGTGGACATGAGGCCTAGCGCAGCCCCTCAGCCCGGGGGTGGCTTCTACTCTACCTGCCTGAAGATAAACCTGCAACGGGGATGGCAGACCCTAAAGAAACGGCCGTGTCCCAGGGGGATGCCCCGGTCCAGGGACACCGGAGCTTGTCTGTTGGCAGAGCTCCTCTTGCTCCAGGGCCCTACTGCGAGATGGCTCTGAGGCGCCCGAGCACCAGGCTCCCAACTGCCGCGTGGCTCTTCGGCGAGAGGCTGCCCCAGCACCCGGCAGATGCGCCGGTCACGGCCTGCATCACCGTCCCAATAAGATGCAGCCCCAGAACGAGTCTATCGCGCGCCGGGGCTGGACCAAAGGGCCTGCCACAGGGTGACCATCCTTTCTGGGATCACCCGGACAATCCGGTTCCTCCAGATGTTGCAGGGATGTTTAATAGACAAACAACAGGGATGAAGGGGCTGCCCTGGGTGAGGCAGGACAAAGGGGATGACATCTGCCTGGTCTGGGCATGGCATGTCCATGTCCATCCTGTCCCAGGCCAAGAGGGGCTATTGGGTCCTGACGAACGGGTCACTGGGATCTCCAAGGCCCTGCCGCAAGTGTGCAAATGGCAAAGCAACCTGTGTCCAGCTGAACCTGCTCGAGCTCTTCTGAGAAACCGGTGGGGAAAAAAACAAACAAACCCAACACCACAGACTACCACTGACACCTCACTAGCACACGGGCTCACAACAGATCCCTCCTACAGCACACGTGCTCAGGACACGCTCAACGAGAGGACGGCAGGAGGGAGATCGGAGAAGTCAAATCCTACCTAACTACAGCTCCACAACGGTCCTGCAATGGGGGCGTCAGCCACGCCACGCCCTGCGAGGACCTCAAGACACAGACAGTCTACGTCACTCTGGGGCGAGCTCCCTACACCTACTGCTACTGTGCTGGGCTCCAGCCTGGCGGCCCGGTCCCTTTGCCGGCTGGTCTACGAGCTGCCTCAGTCCCATGCCCCAGCACCGCTCTTTGCTGTGGGAAATCCCGGAGGCCAAGCACTGCCGACAACTAGGAATCAAAGGATGCAGCCCAGTGTCAGCAACACCCCCGATGTCCTGACCCATCTCTGCAGACGGGTCAGGAGACTTCACATGTATTTTGGCAAATTCTCTTTTATCCACATGACCAACTGCTGCTCTCCTTTTTTTCCAGGGACAAAGCGGGGCCGTGACAGCTCTGAGAAACTGCTTCCTCTGAGCGCTACATCCACTCATCCCCTCACATCTGGACTGAGGCGGGCTGGACAGGGACTCCTCCAGAGCCAGTCAGTGCCATCTCGGCGGCCTGCTGAGCAGAGGATGTGCCGTCTCCTTTGGGGTATGCCAGGACCCTGCCAGCACACCCACACCGTGAGCTGAAAATAAGACACTGGAGACCCCACTGCCTGTGCCTTGCAGGCACCAATGGAGAGCACTGCCAGCAGTCCATGGGGGCCAGCCCTGCACCTGGTGAGGATGACAACTACTGCACAACAATTAAGATTTCCTCACTGAAATACTGACAATGCTCAGAGGCCTTAGTATTCGGGATCCTGCGGGAACACATCCTAGGAACATCTCTTACGCTACTGTCAGCCTGCTCTGTGCAAAGCAGGATCACACGCTGCAGAACTACGCAGCCAAACTCTGCCGTCACGTCTGCAGCAACACTGACGGGGGTCAAGCAGAGGCTCAGCAAGTCCGAGCGAGCCTGGCTGGCTGTGACCAGACAGAGCCCTTGCCCCAGCACACCCTCTTGGCCCAACACAGGCTTGTGGGCAGCTGCACCTGTGCTGTCCAAGCTTGCAGCAAGACAGCTCTGCTGCACCACGGCTCGGGAGCAGCACCTGGGTGAGATGTCATCGCCTGCGTTGCTTTGCAGAGGCATCACAGAACCAACCTGGTGAGGGCTGGGGAGGGGAGACAGAAGACAAAACCTATCTGTACAACCAGCTGCAGAGAGCTGGCCCTACCAGTGCCTGGGGACATCCAGTGTTCCTGATGGGGCACGGAGGTAAAAGCTGGGGTTGGTTTCTCCTGGAGGGGTGTAAGCCACCATCGCTGCTGAGAGACAGAAAAGAACATTGATTTTGGCTTTGGGCATGAGCAACTCCTGATGCACTTGGGGCTAAACTTCACCAACAGGATGTCAAAGCTGCTCCAAAGATGCGAGACTCGGCCAGCGAAGGAGTTACAAATGGGTGCTACAGGAGGAACTCCGGACAGCAGAAGGGAAGAAAGCGAGAGAGAAGGACAGAATGGGCCGGGCCTATTGCTGCAGCATGGAGAGAATATGAATTTCAAGCAAACGTGGGCAGAGCCCCCAGGCTGGCTGGGCCAGCTCTCGCGGCACGCTCGTTTGTTGACATCAGCATCACCAATTACCCTTTGGGCAGCAAGGCTTGGCCTGGTCTGGCTTTCCTAGAGATAAAATAAGACCTGTAAGCTGCCGTAGAGCCCTAAAGGCAGACACAGCTGCTGTGGGGGGTCACTGGGCCTCCACACAGCTGATGCAAAGCACCACAAGGCCTTAATGCTTGTGCCCAAGTGACCCTTCTACACCCACGTGTGTCCATTCCCCCTCCACAGCCCAGCATCGAGGCAGCTTGTACAATGGCTACTTGTTTAAAAAGAGTCCAAGGGGGAGCGTGGCTCCCCAGAAGGCTGTGATGTTTTGTGCTTGTTGTTACAGCGATATGGTACGGTGCCTTAAGACCAGAAATGGATCTTTGGACAAGAAATATTTTTACATATGTACAAATGAGAAGTACAAACCGGCAGTACAAAACCTGCCGTTAGTCACCATTCCGTTACACTAGAAAACACGGGAACAGTCAAGAGCAGTGCAAAGCAGGTCAGTGCATCCAAATAACCCAAACCGAGAGCTACAAAACCAGTATTTGTTACTATGGCAATTGCATCTGAATAGGGTTAGACAACCAATATTCTATCATACAAAAAGTTGCACATTTTAACACTTACTTTTTAAAAAATGCCTTTTTTGCCGCCGTAACGTAGCTCTGTTCTACAGCAGACTGGAAAAGCAGCATGGAGACCAGGTGAACATTTCTAAATAACTTACGACACCAACAGACTTCACCAAGACATGCATTTCACTGAGACACGAGCTAGGGATGCTGACCATCAGCCTGCGGAGGTCAGGGCTCCATGCACCGTGCTCCTGACCAGTGGCACATGCCAGCCTCGTAACGCACCGTGTCTGAGTGTAGCGTGTTCCTCCAGGAGGGCTGCAGAGCTCATGAGGGGACTCGCACGGCTCCTCCTCTTAGCAGCCAGTAGGAGCAAATGCTTGAACACTGCCCAGAGGACCCAGCAGGTCCCAATGCCCCTTCGGCGGCAGGTGCCACGGCAAAGCTTCTGGGCAGGGGAGGACTCAGGGTGGCATTCCCGTGTCCAGCCGGTGTGCTGCTGGCACCGAGTCCCAGAGTGCCAGCACCCCTGCAGACAGCAGGCATGCCACCTCCTCGTGCAATGATGTGTAGCCCCTGAACCACTCTGCTTTGCTGAAGGCCGGGCCTTGGGGAATGGGACCTGCTGTGTGAGCCAGAAATAAAGCAGGCTCCAAGTGGATCTGAGCCACGTGCAAGCTGCTGTGTGGCCTAGCCTGGAAAAAGCAAGTGGAGGTTGACCACTCCCGGGGGCTTGGCTGGGAAGGCCACCGCACTCCTGAATGTAGGGCTCGGAGGATCCTGCCTGAGAAGGCCAGCTGGGCAGGCCCAAGGCAAGCTGGTGCGCTATGCCGTTTGCCGAGTGACCGGCTGCGTTGTTAGCCGTGCTCCTTGGGGGTGTTGCCAGCGGGGTCCCACCGGGGCTCTCCAGTGCTCAGCACGTCGCTTCTGCCGGGTGCGATGGGGACTCTGGGGCAGCAGGACGCACGGAGCAGGGAGGGCTCAAGAGCTGTTGGCTCAGACATGCACAGCTGGCAGCGAGGAAGAATTCAGGCAGGGCGATGGGCGAGGGTGGCTGGCAGGGCTCCACGGTCCGGGTGGCAGAAACAGCACGTATGGGAGAGGGGGGAACGCAGCGGAGGGGTGGCAAGCGTTCGCGACGTGTCCTCTGCTGAGAAGGGGTCCGGTAGTGCTGGTTGCCGGGGCTGGCCGCCCGCTCAGTAGTATCCTCGCGTGCACACCGCTTCTCCACAGAGCCAGCCGCCGCACGCCCTCAGGACTGCGGCAGCTGCTGGCACCGCGTGGGGCTGGGGGGCAGCCGGGCCGCCGCGCTCTGCTCAGTCCTGAAGCTGTAGTCGTACTGCAGGGCAAAAAAACAAAGCAAACACGCCGTGATGGGGATGGATGTGAGCCAGTGGCGCAGGCCACAGCACTGGGTCCGCGACTCCCCAGAGCAGCCCAGGAGCCCAGCCCCGGCCGTGGGGGAGCAGCCGCTACAGTTATACCCAGGGGGGTGCCCCCTCATCTCCCCAAGAGTCCCATCCTCACAGCCCCCCCCTCCCCCCATGCATGGAGCTCCCCTCGCCTCCCAGATCCCTCACTTTGTCAGCAGGGCTGCACAGCGTGCTGGCCCAGGAGACTTGTGCTCCCGGAGACCTGGGCTGGGCTGCCACGAGAGCAGCAGACTGGTGCCACGTGCCATACACTATTTTGTACAAGAACAGCCATGTCGGTCCAGGAGGGCAGCGCCAGCCTGATGCCTCTCTTCCCCAGCGCTCCTCCTCCTCGAGAGAACGGGTAACCCAGAGCAGCTCCAGCGTCCGCAAACAAACACCTCCCATGGAAAGCAGCTCACAGCTGGTGGACACAGCTCCCCCTCCGCATCTCCAGAGAGGGGCTGGACAGAAATGTTTCCCTTCTCTGGCCCTGTCTGCACACGAGATTGCACCGGTGTGATTAGACTGGTCCAGACAGGCTGGACAGCCCCTGGGCGAACACCCCAGCACAAACCAGACAGTGCCTCCCACCCCATCCCACGTGCATGAACTGAAAAAGGAGAAAAAGTCATCTCTAACTAGCAAGGACCTGCAGCCTGGCGGGGCTCTTCCGGTGGAAGAAAGGGTAATCTCCCACTGGGAAGAAATCTGCTGTAATCTGGCAGAAGAAAGCGCATCTCCCACCAGACCCGCAGGCCAGCGGCTCCTGGAACCAGCCAGAGCCTGGAGCAAGCGCCCGCCTGTGTCCGCTCGCGACAGTGCAAGCGAGCACAAGCACGTGGCAACACTGCCATCTTGCGGCCCGGCCCCAGGCGTGCGCTTCCAAAGGCAGAGCAGCCAGGCCGGACAAGCCCTGTGTGAGCGCTGGGAGTTCAGCTTTTCTTCCACGTCTCTGGGCCCTGGCTATGACAACTGCTGAAGTTGCCAGCAAATTGCAAAGAAGGTTTCGCAGACGGGTAAACCCAGGGATGTGCCCCAAGTCACTCCAGTCGCAGCAGGATCCCAACCTCCTGGCCCTTGCCCCCCTCAAGTCCTGGCTCTGGTCACTGAGGAGGACAGCACCCCTCCAAAGCACCCAGGCAAGCCGCCCCAGGGCTGGCACCCTGGTGCAGCTGCTGCCCTGGCCCGTGGCCACTCAGCTGAGGCAGGGAGGTGCGCCTGCCCCACAGGACGCTGGCAGGGGGCACGCCGCACGGCTGGACCCCTTGGCTGTGGCACAAGCCGACACACCCCGGTCAGATGTGGGCACCACGAGCACCGCTCGCGGCTGGCTTGCCACAGAGGGAGCCAGCAGCGTTCAGCCAACATGCACTGCCATGGCACGTGGCCGATGGAGAGATGCATGGCTGTCGCCGCAACCATCCTGGCAGCTCAGCCCAGCCCTTCCTACCCCAGCTCCGGAGAACGGCAGGTAGCCTGCGGGAACGGCATTGCTCTAGCCCTCAAGAGCCTCTCTGGACATCCCTTGCCCTGGCAGCCTGGCAGTTCAGGGGAGCTTCTCTCAGAAGCCCTGACATCGGCTCAGCCCAGGCTGGAGGCTGCAACTGGGGTGAGCCGACGCTCCTGCAGGGACTGAAGCCCAGAGGGTCCTGGCTGGAGGGTCTCGCCCCTCTGCTCTGCGTCAGACCGATGCTGCACTGGGGGCAGGAAGGAACTTTACCTCTACACCCGTCAGATCAACAGGACTGGGGGCGTTTGGCTTTCCTCTGCAGTGTGGCTTGGTCTCTCTAGCAAATGTTAACACCCCTCACAGCAGCAGGATCCCACCCGCCCGCATCCCCCTGCTTTACCTGCAGCAGGGCAGGTGGTGGGACAGGGCTGACTGTGCAGCTTGGCAGAGGTCAAACAAGGATCGGCCCAGGGCTGACTCTGCCTCAGGGGGGGCTTGGACAAGACGTGACCTCCACAGGTGCCTGATGGCCCGGCTGTACCATGAGCCTTCAGCATGTTGTTCGCCCTGGCACACGGTCACCCCAACTCCCGCGTGCGGGGTGCAGGGCAGAGGCCTGTCCCGGAGCAGGGCCTCGATTGCTTACATCTGAGCACAGACCAACCCAAGACCTCCCAACTGTGCCCCCGCCTGCGACCTGGCAGCACGGCCCTGGCTCCACCACGGCCGGCATCCTCCTTTGCCTCACGAGCTTGAACCACAGCCGCTGCGTCAGCTCTTCACCTAGACCCGGGACCTGCCAACAGGCTGCTGGGACTCCACGCGGGCTCGGGGCCCAGGCCACAGTGGGACCTGCTGGCGTGAGCCGACGCTGCCGGGCTGCAGGCCCGAGGCAGGGACTCTCGCCTGCTCTGCGCAGACACAGCACCGAGCTTAGCGGGGCCGCCCCACGCGGGAGGTCCTGGCCCTGCCACCGCAGGAGAAAACCGACCAACGCACAGTTCAAATGTCCCGTGCAAAGACACCAGAGCCTTCGCAGCACCCAGGGCCAAGTGCACACAAACAAGCGGAGCTGCTCTGCAGGAAAAGGCTGCCAGGAAGTGGCGGGAGGGCGCTGCCCGGTCCGCAGCTCTGGCCACGGGGCTCACGGGCACCTAGGGCAGTGGATCGGCTGGCCGTCCCACCAAGCGGAGAGATCGCTGTGGTCACAAGGCCCCGGTTGGACGTCGCTGCCCGGGGGGCAGCCCTTCCCCCGCATATCCCAGGGGCAAGTCTATCTATTGTGCCTACCAGTGCTGCAAGCCAGCCGCTCCCTGTGGCAGCCCCGAGGGCCAGCGCGGGGAACCGGGTTAGACTGAGACCTGACCGGTGGGTCCCTGGTCAGACAGAGGCTGGGGGAGCCCTCGGTCCCTGGCAATCTGGGCACTGGCCTTGTGCCCCGGCTGTGGCAGGAGTGCAGGAGACTGAGATGCGACGAGGCCAGATCTGGGCATGTGGGCACAATACCCTACTGCAAGCACCAGCCAGCCACAGCGAGATGTTCACAGAGCCTGGGCCCAAGAGCCTGGCCAGAGGCCTCATCCCCTCCCTGCCCGTTGCCCGTGCCTCCATTTCCCTGGTTGCGAAGCAGGGTGGTCTGTGCCAGCTCTGCTGGCAGCAGCACTTCCAGGGTAACAGTGCCCTGCAGAGCCCACAGAGCAGCAATGCTCCCTGGCGCTGCACCCCAGCACCCTGTGCCATGCCCAGAGTGCTTTGCTGGGGCCACGATGCAGACCGGCATGTGGCCAGGGGCCTGGCCTGGCACCTGGCACTTCCAAAGAAGGGGCAGGGGGAACCTCCTGTGGGCTGGGGGATATCAGGGATCTCTGTACTTCCCTCTGACGTGACCCCTGCACCATTCGGCCTGTACCTGTCGCTCTTCGCCTTGCTCCCGGGGGGAGGCTGCACCTCCACTGGGGCTGCCCCAGGTCACACGCCAGCTCTGCTCTGCAGCCTGACACTGAACAGCACGTCCTCACTGCGGCTGCCCATGCACCACGCGGCACAGCCAAAAGCCCACGGCAGCAGGACGGTAACTCTGCCCATGCCCCCTCCCCTGCGCTCAGAGATCCAGGACCGTTTGCAAAGGGGGTGGATAGCATCACCCCACTTTACTTGCTAGGTGGAGAGAGGGGCCCTGCTGCACTGAAGGGGGATGCGCAGGGCTGGACCCTGCCAGGATGAGGACCTGGCTCTCCTGACCCCCACACGAGGCATTTGACTGCATGCAACAATCCCCCACGTTTGCCCCTGTCCATCCAGAGCCTGATCTCAGCTCCGAGCTCTCCTGGGCAGGAGATTTCCCCTCCTGGGCTTTCTGTGTAGCTCCCTGTGCCCTCTCTACCATGAAACATCATCAACAACAACCCTACTAATGAACTTGGCTGCACCCCAGGCAGGGGATCTACACTTCTGTGGTTCACCGGAGACTTGGGGGCTGCATCACGAGTGCTTCCCACCAACGCCCCCGAGGCGGAAGTTGCGAAGCACCTGGTTTTCTGGGTGCAATAAAGCCTCACGGCACGAGAGGGCGCCGCGCGCCCACACGTTGCGCCATGACAAAACCTGCTCTCTCTGAAGTTAACAGTTACACAAACAGTTGGGAAAAGAGAAGAGCGAATGCAAGAAACAACGGGACTGGGGACGTTTGCTGCCGAGGCAACCGGGAAACGGGCTGGCTGCTGCCAAATCCAGAAGGTTCTTCTGTCTTTTGACATTTCGGGAAAAGCGAGGCGTGGCGCAGAGCATGCATGTAAAACCGTGCCCTGCGCAAAGGAGGATGTGTCAAGAAGTCGCCGTCTTCAAGAATGCTTTTTAATTGGCAAACATGTCTTCATTAATTTTACCTCAATGTCGGGATGTCGCAGCTAGCAATGCCAGCCCCGAGCTAAATAACCAATAAGCCTCATTTTTCAACACACAAACACATAAAGATGTCAGCTCAAACTGTTTACTAATTAACACTTAAAAAGACACAAATTAGATATGCGTGGCTAAGAGCAATTATAATCAAGACGAATTTCTCTAGTCATTTGGGAACTGAAAAAAATGCCTAATTGCTGGAACCAATGTTTTAAAAACTGAAATCATGCCAGTTAGCAAATATGTTCATTTAAAGAACATTTCATGTGACTACACTCTGGAGAATTGACTACAAACATGAGAACAAGGAAAAATATTTCTGTATAAAATTAAAATTTTAAGCTCTTCTAGATTTACAACTTCTTCATTCGACAGGTTTGCAAAGAGCAGCCTATGCAAACTGGCAGCAATTAAATGGTTAAATGAACTGCCTCCCATGTCAATTTTAAGAGTGATTAATATCAGTTGCTCACTTCACTCATTAGGCTCTCCTCTGAGCGCCACGTCAAAGCCGAGGCTGAGGCGCTGTGGGTAGGCTCAGGCAGGGACAGCGGCAGGCCGACAGCCGTAGCG